CCGGGCGCGGACGCTCGGGAGCCAGCCCCTCCTCGCCAGCTCTGCGCCCCAGCTCCCCAAGGCACCGTGCAAGCAGTGGGCTGTGCTCGTTAGTAATTTATGACAGGAGTGTCTTAAGGCAACCAGGAAAAGTTAGTTAACGTCTCAGTAATCAGAACAGCTTCGCTTCGAATGGCAGCAAATGGGCTGAAAATACAGCAGGTTTGCAGAGGCTGAAGATGGGCACCTTCAGTCAATCCGAGTTTCTTCCTTTAACTCATGAAGGCACATTCCAGACTACAAAAAGAAGAAAAGAGTTGGACAAAGGACACTCTCCTTCAGCCCCTCACCGTTACAATCCTGCATTTTAAGAATTTAAGACACCAGAGACAGGTAAAGAGGGATTTAAGAGTTTCCCCCACTAGCTTTCCTAGTTTTAGTTTTCCTTTGTGCTCACGCACTGGTATTTCTCACCCACGACTACATGCCTGGTGACAATGGTTTCTGCAGTGTTTGTTACTGTATTACAGCACGAACTTAAACCTTGTCCTCCCATGAAATACATGTGGATACATGAGAATTCAAAGCAAGGATCGAACCGCATGTTCCCTGGCTTGCTATCCTGACCCAGCGTTAGTCCCACCTCACCCAGCAGCAAAGTCCCTACTTGAACAAACCCCACCAACCACGGCAGTGCACTGGGAACGGCCACGCTGAGCAGGACTCATCCAGCGCAGATGAAAACCAGTTCTCAGACAGGGGAGCCATACAGTACTCCTCCTCCTGCTCCTGCCACACACAGCTGTAAAAACGTGGGGTTGTTCCTAGTTCCCAAGTTCTCGCTGTTTTCATCTCCACCTGCTTTGCTCTGCACCAGCGTTTGAGATTCAGCCACTGGAGCTCCCACAGTGGTTGCAGTTTACCACTCACTGCAGGCAGTGATTGTCAAAGCAGTCACTATTTCAAATTAATGCTGCATATATTTTCATTTCAGTATCCTGGGTTTATTTGAACTGTACCAGTCAGTGAATTAACACCATCTATTCCAACCAAAAGGAGAAATCGCCATTTTGGTGAAACTTACCAATAATGATGATGATGAGAATGAGAACAACAGCTATCAATATTGCCCACATCTGTGAAAAGAGCCATACAGCACTTACTACAAACCACGCAGCAGCATTAACGGGCCTTAAGGGTACAGGAAAGCAGCCCCTGTAACGTACTTCTGCACGGTGTGCTAGGTCTAACACGGCAAGTCAAACTCCTTCAGTAAGCAAGCTTGGAGATGGCAGGCTGTGCACGCAGGCACAGCAGACCAACAGGTTCTTTTCCATGGTGCCTCCATGCAAAGCCTGTCTCAGGCGACTGTACGAGCAGGAGTAGAGAACTACCAAACACCATTTCTAATCTTACCCTACACCTTAACTTTCGCTTCGCTGCTCACCAAAGATGATTCCAGCCCTTGCCAACAGCTACAAGTACAAGAGTCAGAGCGAGCTCCTTCTGCTTGCTAACACTTCCTGAACATTAACCCAACCTATGCATTTTTGGCCTTTTCCTCCCTGCTCCCCAAAGCCTCAAATCACGGAGGTGTTTCCCTCTGGCCATTACCATCTTAGACAGGGTCTCGCATCAAGCAGCATGGATGGTAATCCACCTTCTGGTTACTTCACCTAACCACTATGTCATGTTTTAAAAATAGATGCTGTAATTCAAATATCATTGGCTAAAGTCAGTTTTACTTCATTTCGAGATGCCAACTGTAACAGCATTAACCACAATACTGCATACATTATATGTTAGTATACAAGCCACGGTTACCTTACAGTTCTTCCACCAATACTTTCTTTTCAGCTTGGCTGCGCTGGTCTCAAACTGGGAAGCTCCTGCTTGCAGTGCATCAGCACGGTCATCCAGCTCTGACAGCTTCTGATCTCGCTCCAATACCTTGTCCACATTCACCCTCATGATGTCAACAACCTACATCAGTTTAATGCTTACAGTAAGTTATCAGTTGTATCACCCACTGTGGAACTTAATTGCAGGCAACAGATAGCAACACGTGGTACTCAATGTTCTCTTCTCAGAAGTGGGTGCTATTGCCTTTTGGACTATCCAGTCATCGGCTTAAACAAACCCCTGAAATTCACCTGTGGCTGGAAGCCCTGAAGACCTACCTTTGAATGTCAGTAGTGCCAGTTGTGCTGGCATTCCCTTAAACCTGGGAGACAAGCCCTGACTTGCTTCAGGAGGCGCTGAGGCATACCAACATGCTAGTCAACTATGTGTCAAAAATACCGTTGGTAGCCAGCATGGCTTTTGGACTTCCCAGAAATCTGGACATGGACATGTCATATTTGGTGGTCAACCTTCATTGCTAGTGAAGAGAAAAAAGCTTCTTCTCTCTAAGAACAAAGGTTTTTATCTTTACTTGCATCAAATCCTCAAGCACCAAGTTTGCAGCTAATGTTTGGACACTGCTAACTTCTCCCTACTTCCCTACTCCAGGTGAATGGATTTTTTTAAAAAACAACCCTTTTTTAACCCAAGATGACAAGTATAACAAAACAAGCTGAATAATACTAGCCTTCCCCTTCATATAATGAAAGGGAAACTGCTTTAGCCAAAATATCCCTTCTAGTTACACAGGCTTCCTGAGAGAAAATTATTACATCGCTATCAGACTAGACTTTTACCTCATCTACTTGGTGTTGAGTCTGCTGAAGACGACGATTACTGCCAGCAGCCACATTTGAGCTTCCAGGGATACTGGCTGACCTGCAGTAAAGAAAGTCATCATTATACTGCTTTTGATAGGTTGTGGTTTTGGTTTTAAGTGGATAGGCTTAGAGCACACAAGTTATCTGACATTCCTGAAAACACGGAATTTGTATCCTCGAAACAAACACGAGGCAGTTTCCTACTGGAGGAGTGATGTTTTAACAGCTGGCAATAGGTGCAAGTCACGCAGCCTCCCAAACATCTTGCCAGTGAATTGTTTGACACGCTAAAAAACAGCAGTGGCTTGCTAATGCTATAGCTTACGGTAAGGCACACAACAACTCCTACAACAGTTCAAAGGGCTCAAACACTCAAGAGTTTGGGCTCAGGGGTGCTCCTGTTTTCCAGTATGAACACAAATACTAAGCTTCAAGCTACAGCAATTTACAAAAAATTAAACACAGAAACTTAATGTTTATTCTAACTACGCTCTCTTCCAGTGGTTGCCTCCATCTCTGTTCTTTTCAGTTGACATAGAGCAAGAGAAAGCCCAAGAAGGAAAACGCATTCAGCACATACAACAATTTACCCCTGCTCAGCTTTGACTTCAGAAGCTCAGGCAGTCGAGTTTTTAAGCAGCTGCAAGTCCCTGCATCTGCAACACCCTGCATCTCTGCAACGGATGCAGGAGCCTCATGCCCTTTTCACCGCTCTACCAAGTGTCTGATGCGTATCTCTAGAACTACCTGTACTCAGTTTGCTTTTCCATGTTTGCATTTCTTCCGCATCAGAAGCATGTACTGTTTAGCGAACCCTGATACCAAAAAAAGAGCTGAATCCGAGTATTTGCCGTATGTACACATTTACACACTGACTTCTAATTTATATTTAGCAAGAACACACGCACAACGAGCAAACCAGGAACCCTGTGACGAGGCTCAAGACCAATCCGTGCAGAACACAGTAAAACTGCTCGTTTGGCACTTAAGTCCCCTCCCTTATCGTGCCGTGTCACTGCTGGTTCCAGGCTGAAGAGTCTCGGAAACGCAACCTCTTCCCGAGAGCAGCGGTTCCCCAAGGACATGAACAAG